TTTTTTTTTTTTTTTTTTTTTTTTTCAAAATTAATAGATAGGAATTCTGTCTCTAATAAATAAGATTTTGTTTATCTGCACTCAATAGCCAAATGATAACAAAACAACAGATATAAAACAGAATAAAAATCATATTTAGCAAGCATTTCAAAAGCTTTTAATAAAAATTAACATTAGCCTGAGTGAGTAATTAATGTTACTGTTGTTTTATTAACATTTGTTGAGGAATACATACATACAGATATATATAGTAATAATTTTTTTTTCTCACTCACCGAATTTACAATGTAAGTTTGTATGTAACCGCATATGTAGAGGCCTCTGCAACTGCTGGTACTGAAGATGAGATGCAAGTATATATGTAAATATGTACGAATGTACAAGCGTGTAATGCTTGTAGTAAGGGTATTCAATGCAGATGAATATACTTATGCTAAATTAAAATTACAATAGTGTTTTTTTTTAAATTATTGATTCTTATTTAATCGACTTAAAAAGAAATTTCAATGTGCAATATCTAGTTTATAAGATGTTTTAATTAGTTTTAAGCTTCTTAATTAATTTTAAGGGTTTTAATTAGTGTTTTAAGGATTTTTAATTAGCTTAAGGTTTTTTCTTTTAATTATCTTTTTATAAGGAAAATTTACTATTTTTAGACTTTTCAAATAAATTATTTAATTTGTTCCTTTTAGCTTGTTAGCTTAACTTTTTTTTTTTTTTTTATGACGAGTTTGGATGTTTTGGACTTATTTTTTTTCACTCTTTGACTATTTTGCACATTTAGAAATTTATTTTTAAGTAGGTTTCCGTAAATAACACAATTTAATAGCACTATAGTTACATAACGTTGGTATTTAAGCCATCAAATGAGATCTTCAAAGGGATTTTAAACCAGATTCTTCGAAGGAATCAATCCTTTGGGTGGTATAGGATGATATAAATTAGTAAATTTGCCCGATGATAAGAGTTGATTTAGTTTTTCACTTGAATTCTTTGTTTTAAATAAGTTAAATGTTATATGTATTCTTGTCATGTAATTACTGTATGCTCTTTCTTATTCAAAATAAATGTGATCATTGGCAATTGTTCGATCTTTCTCTTCTTCCTCTTTATACAAAGAATTCTTAAAGAATGTCTGGAATGTGGATACACATTCCTACATACATATTTCTAGCTGAGCGATTCTGTTAACGTTTACAATAGCGTAATAGATTGACATACATACATTTATTATTAAATATACGATGAGATTAAAAGGAACAGTGGTGGCTCATTAAATGAGTCCACCACGAATAAAAAATGGAAAAAATGTGGTTCCTTGCTATAATCGTGAACAAACGACTGATTAATATGATCTTTCCGGAGTCTTGACCATAGGTCAAAATAAGTTATTTGGCAACATATGCAAGAAAGATTATCCAATTGTCGTAATTTAGTTATATGTGCTGTGGACTTTCTAGGATTTAAGAAGACAAATTTAAATTCACTTGTGTATTTTATGTATTTTTTTAAATCACCTTTAATTAATAAATCTTTGAGATGATTTGCAATTATGCGTAATGTTGTTTTGTTGTTCGCAGTAAACCGGAAAAGAAATTCTTCAGAGAAAGGTAGCTATTATAACACCTCTGTCCATAAGCACTGTCATGGAGAATATTGCCACCTTTTGATTATAGCAAGTTTTGACAAACAATTTTATAATTTGACGAAGATTTCCTTAATTCAAGCAAATTAGTACGATGAAATTAGTTGTGAAATACATTATAATAGCAAATGGGTATTAGTCAGATTTAAGAGATCTTAATCATTAGACTTATTCTTCAGAAATTATGAAAATGATCAAACAATTTCATTCTGTCCTCGTGTACACTAATATTTCCTTATATCATTTAATACATATTTACTCTTGTTGTAATACAAAAGTTTACTTTTTTTTTTTAACTAATATAATAAAATAATTGAAACATCAATCGAGCTGTAAATACATTTTAACACAATGTAAAATAAGTATGTTGCTAATAATTTGCTTCTATTTCTGTTCAATATGCATTTGTATATGGGCCTGTATTGTACGCAACATGCAAATTGTTTTTTTTTTTACAGTTTAGCACGGACAACAACCAATGTTGCTGGATCATGTAGAAACATTGCGTTGAGAGAATGTTTACAAGAGGACTGGGGATGTGTGTGTAAACAATTGAGTATTTATCGAGTGTAGTATTAATTAGGTGTTGTTACAAAATTCGTAAGCTATTTAAATTACACCAAAGGAAAAAATGTTACTACAAATAAAGAAATTAAGCAAACAAAATCTCAAGAACCAAAACGAAGTCATTAACTTTATTTATAAACACGGGGACTGTTAATGGTAATGGTCAAGAACAAATAATAAGGAAAAGGAAATAAAAGGTTTCTGCAATATGATGCCAAAAAATGTATACAACGAAAGCGAGTATTTTTTTATCCGCAAATCTTGCCTTACAAGACTAGACTATAGACTAGACTATAGATTAGACTATAGATTAGACTATAGACTAGACTATAGACTTGACTATAGACTAGACTAAAGAATAGACTATAGACTAGACTATAGACTAGACTATAGACTAGACTATAGACTAGACTATAGACTAGACTATAGACTAGACTATAGACTAGACTATAGACTAGACTATAGACTAGACTATAGACTAGACTATAGACTAGACTATATACTAGACTATAGACTAGACGATAGACTAGACTATGAACTAGACTATAGACTAGACTATAGACTAGACTATAGATTAGACTATAGATTAGACTATAGATTAGACTATAGACTAGACTATAGACTAGACTATAGACTAGACTATAGACTAGACTATAGATTAGACTATAGATTAGACTATAGACTAGACTATAGACTAGACTATAGACTAGACTATAGACTAAACTATAGACTAGACTAGACTATAGACTAGACTATAGACTAGACTATAGACTAGACTATAGACTAGACTATAGACTAGACTATAGACTAGACTATAGACTAGACTATAGACTAGACTATAGACTAGACTATAGACTAGACTATAGACTAGACTATAGACTAGACTATAGACTAGACTATAGACTAGACTATAGACTAGACTATAGACTAGACTATAGACTAGACTATAGACTAGACTATAGACTAGACTATAGACTAGACTATAGACTAGACTATAGACTAGACTATAGACTAGACTATAGACTAGACTATAGACTAGACTAGACTATAGACTAGACTATAGACTAGACTATAGACTAGACTATAGACTAGACTATAGACTAGACTATAGGCTAGACTATAGACTAGACAACAGATTAGACTATAGGCTAGACTATAAAGTATACTATAGACTATACTATAGACTAGACTACAGACTAGACTATAGACTAGACTTTAGGCTATACTATAGGCTAGACTATAGAGCAGACTATAGATTAGACTATGGACTAGACTACAGACTAGACTATAGACTAGACTATAGACTAGACTATAGACTAGACTATAGACAAGACTATAGACTAGACTATAGACTAGACTATAGATTAGACTATAGATTAGACTATAGACTAGACTATAGACTTGACTATAGACTAGACTAAAGAATAGACTATAGACTAGACTATAGACTAGACTATAGACTAGACTATAGACTAGACTACAGACTAGACTATAGACTAGACTATAGACTAGACTATAGACTAGACTATAGACTAGACTATAGACTAGACTATAGACTAGACTATATACTAGACTATAGACTAGACGATAGACTAGACTATGAACTAGACTATAGACTAGACTATAGACTAGACTATAGATTAGACTATAGATTAGACTATAGACTAGACTATAGACTAGACTATAGACTAGACTATAGACTAGACTATAGATTAGACTATAGATTAGACTATAGACTAGACTATAGACTAGACTATAGACTAGACTATAGACTAAACTATAGACTAGACTATAGACTAGACTATAGACTAGACTATAGACTAGACTATAGACTAGACTATACTAGACTATAGACTAGACTATAGACTAGACTATAGACTAGACTATAGACTAGACTATAGACTAGACTATAGACTAGACTATAGACTAGACTATAGACTAGACTATAGACTAGACTATAGACTAGACTATAGACTAGACTATAGACTAGACTATAGACTAGACTATAGACTAGACTATAGACTAGACTATAGACTAGACTATAGACTAGACTATAGACTAGACTATAGACTAGACTATAGACTAGACTATAGACTAGACTATAGACTAGACTATAGACTAGACTATAGACTAGACTATAGACTAGACTATAGACTAGACTATAGACTAGACTATAGACTAGACTATAGACTAGACTATAGACTAGACTATAGACTAGACTATAGACTAGACTATAGACTAGACTATAGACTAGACTATAGACTAGACTATAGACTAGACTATAGACTAGACTATAGACTAGACTATAGACTAGACTATAGACTAGACTATAGACTAGACTATAGACTAGACTATAGACTAGACTATAGACTAGACTATAGACTAGACTATAGACTAGACTATAGACAAGATTATAGACTAGACTATAGACAAGACAATAGACTAGACAATTGTTTAGACAATATACTAGACTATAGACTAGACTATACACTAGACTGTAGACTAGACTATAGATTATTCTATAGACTAGACAATGGCTAAGACTAGATTATAGACCAGACTATATGCCAGACTAAAGACAAGACCATATTTTCTACTATAGCAAAATTATTTAAAGAAATCTTTTAATTACTAAGATAACTTAAAATATTTACTTTATAAATAAAAAAGACACAAAAATAATCTAATTAATTTGCTATCATGTTGTTTGATCATTTAATAATTGTATTTTAAACGTCGCATTTAAACACAAAAAAACTCCCATAAATACACCAACTCCAACAAATTTCAGATCAGTCGTGGTTCCAAAACTTAAGCAAATATTATCAGTCTGAAAATAAATAATTAATAAACAATCCAATTTAATTAATTGCAGCAATAAACAATGTTTAAAAACACTTCTGTTCTATTACTGCTCGTTGTTACAGTCATTTCAGTTAATCATATAACTGAAGGTGCGAATTTTTATTGTGAATTTTAAAATTTTAAATTAATTGCAATTTTTAATTTTTTTAGTTGCTGCCTGTAAATGTCCAGAAAATGAATTTTTTACGGAATGTGGTGCCGATTGTCAAACTACATGCGCTACTTTGAATCAACCATGTGGGATCGTTCATATAACATGTCCAACAGGTTGTTATTGTAAGAAGGGTTATGCACGTGACGACAGTGGTAAATGTATACCAGTGGGGCGGTGTCCTAAATAAGTTTGTTGCAAAAAATAAATATTCTGAATAAATCTAAAATTAAAGAAAACCAATCATTCAGATCACATATATGAATTTCTATTACCTGATATTTAGTAATGATCACAACCATCAACAGCGAAAGTCAAAATATTAACTGGGTGATTGATAATTTAATAAATAAATTAGCTTTGTCACCCTGCTTGGATATAAGCAATGTCAAGAACCTAGTTTAGTATTGACAAAAACTTTGCAACTTAATGAATATTACCAGACTTTTAAAATAGTTTTTGAAAGACTAAATACTAGACTATTGAACAGCAATAAAATGAACTATGGTCTAGATTATAGACTGCACTATAGTCTAGACTACAGACTAGACTATAGACTAGACTATTGACAAGACTATAGTCTAGACTATAGACTAGAATATAGGTTAGACTATAGATTAGACTATAGACTAGACTATAGACTAGACTATAGACTAGACTATAGATTAGACTATTGACTAGACTATAGACTAGACTATAGACTAGACTATAGACTAGACTATAGACTAGACTATAGACTAGACTATAGACTAGACTATAGACTAGACTATAGACTAGACTATAGACTAGACTATGGACTAGACTATAGACTAGACTATAGACTAGACTATAGACTAGACTATAGACTTGACTATAGACTAGACTATAGACTAGACTATAGACTAGACTATAGACTAGACTATAGACTAGGCTATAGACTAGACTATAGACTAGACTATAGACTAGCAGACTATAGACTAGACTATAGACTAGACTATAGACTAGACTATAGACTAGACTATAGACTAGACTATAGACTAGACTATAGACTAGACTATAGACTAGACTATAGACTAGACTATAGACTAGACTATAGACTAGACTATAGACTAGACTATAGACTAGACTATAGACTAGACTATAGACTAGACTATAGACTAGACTATAGACTAGACTATAGACTAGACTATAGACTAGACTATAGACTAGACTATAGACTAGACTATAGACTAGACTATAGACTAGACTATAGACTAGACTATAGACTAGACTATAGACTAGACTAGACTAGACTATAGACTAGACTATAGACTAGAATATAGACTAGACTATAGACTAGACTATAGACTAGACTATAGGCTAGACTATAGACTAGACTATAGACTAGACTATAGACTAGACTATAGACTAGACTATAGACTAGACTATAGACTAGACTATAGACTAGACTATAGACTAGACTATAAACTAGACTATACACTAGACTATAAACTAGACTATAGACTAGACTATAGACTAGACTATAGACTAGACTATAAACTAGACTATAAACTTTACTATAGACTAGACTATACTATAGACGAGACTATAGGCGAGGACTATAGACTAGACTATAGACTAGACTATAGACTAGACTATAGACTAGACTATAGACTAGACTATATACTAGACTATAGACTAGACTATAGACTAGACTATATACTAGACTATAAACTAGACTAGTCAGGTCTATGTTCTATTTTTGCTCTCGGTGTAAGTAGTAAGATATCTACTTAAAGTAGTTTAGATTCAATAGACTAGAATAGACTAGACTATAGACTAGACTATAGACTAGACTATAGACTAGACTATAGACTAGACTATAGACTAGACTATAGACTAGACTATAGACTAGACTAGACTAGACTATAGACTAGACTAAGACTAGACTATAGACTAGACTATAGACTAGACTATAGACTAGACTATAGACTAGACTACTAGACTAGACTATAGACTGACTATAGACTAGACTATAGACTAGAATGAAGAATACTATAGACTAGACTATATAGACTAGACTATAGACAGACTATAGACTAGACTATAGACTAGACTATAGACTAGACTATAGACTAGACTATAGACTAGACTATAGACTAGACTATAGACTAGACTATAGACTAGACTATAGACTAGACTATAGACTAGACTATAGACTAGACTATAGGCTAGACTATAGACTATATAGACTAGACTATAGACTAGACTATAGACTAGACTATAGACTAGACTATAGACTAGACTATAGACTAGACTATAGACTAGACTATAGACTAGACTATAGACTAGACTATAGACTAGACTATAGACTAGACTATAGACTAGACTATAGACTAGACTATAGACTAGACTATAGACTAGACTATAGACTAGACTATAGACTAGACTATAGACTAGACTATAGACTAGACTATAGACTAGACTATAGACTAGACTATAGACTAGACTATAGACTAGACTATAGACTAGACTATAGACTAGACTATAGACTAGACTATAGACTAGACTATAGACTAGACTATAGAATAGACTATAGACTAGACTATAGACTATATAGACTAGACTAAGACTAGACTATAGACTAGACTATAGACTAGACTATAGACTAGACTATAGACTAGACTATAGACTAGACTATAGACTAGGACTATAGACTAGACTATAGACTAGACTATAGACTAGACTATAGACTAGACTATAGACTAGACTATAGACTAGACTATAGACTAGACTATAGACTAGACTATAGACTAGACTATAGACTAGACTATAGACTAGACTATAGACTAGACTATAGACTAGACTATAGACTAGACTATAGACTAGACTATAGACTAGACTATAGACTAGACTATAGACTAGACTATAGACTAGACTATAGACTAGACTATAGACTAGACTATAGACTAGACTATAGACTAGACTATAGACTAGACTATAGACTAGACTATAGACTAGACTATAGACTAGACTATAGACTAGACTATAGACTAGACTATAGACTAGACTATAGACTAGACTATAGGACTAGACTATAGACTAGACTATAGACTAGACTATAGACTAGACTATAGACTAGACTATAGACTAGACTATAGACTAGACTATAGACTAGACTATAGACTAGACTATAGACTAGACTATAGACTAGACTATATACTAGACTATAAACTAGACTAGTCAGGTCTATGTTCTATTTTTGCTCTCGGTGTAAGTAGTAAGATATCTACTTAAAGTAGTTTTAGATTCAATAGACTATAGACTAGACTATAGACTAGACTATAGACTAGACTATAGACTAGACTATAGACTAGACTATAGACTAGACTATAGACTAGACTATAAACTAGACTATAGACTAGACTATAAACTAGACTATAGACTAGACTATAGACTAGACTATAGACTAGACTATAAACTAGACTATAAACTTTACTATAGACTAGACTATACTATAGACGAGACTATAGGCGAGACTATAGACTAGACTATATACTAGACTATAAACTAGACTAGTCAGGTCTATGTTCTATTTTTGCTCTCGGTGTAAGTAGTAAGATATCTACTTAAAGTAGTTTTAGATTCAATAAAAGAGATTTTAGATTCTCTTATATACATGCATACATGTATTTTGTTTTTAAATAATTTAAAAAAATCACATAAATACGGCACCTTAAACAAAACCTGATTCAGTCGTTATACGAAATTTCAGTTAAGTGTTACAAAATACTAGAAGTTCATCTTCTTATCTGTTATAAATAAATAAAAAAAGAATACTCGATTAATTAAAAAATATGTCTAAAACACGTTCCATAAGTTTCTGTTTATTGCTGCTTATTGTTATTGTTATTTCTGCTAATCATATGGGTGAAGGTTAGTTATGGGTACTTTTTTTTATAGAATTCCCATTAAATTTTCTCACGTTTTAAAAACATTCTTGTGTAAATCCCCTTTTGCTTATTGCAGCTGCTGAGCGTACTTGCCCAGAAAATGAAACCTATACGCCTTGCGGTGACAGTTGTCAAACTAGATGCGCTACTTTGAATCAACCTTGTTTAATACGTCATATAAGATGTCCAGATGGTTGTTATTGTAACAAGGGATATGCACGAGATGCCGATGGCAAATGCATACCGATTAGTGAATGCCCTGCTAAACATTAAAATAGTTTTTGGGATTTATAATAAAAATTATAAAAAAATTGAAGCAGCCTGTTTTATTTAGAACTGTTTTCAGCGAAGATCTGAACCCTTGACTTTATGACAAGGTGACTTGAAAATATTGTTTAACAACATTAGTGAAGTTAGAAACCCATCTGAGTAAGGGGTTTTCACTCTGTTCATAGGAAGTTGCCAGAAGTATGTATATTTGCAAACTATTTAAATTTAGACAAGCCTAGAGACTAAACTATAGAAGAGGCTATAGACTAGAATATACACTAGACTATAGACTAGACTATCGACCAGGGACTACAATATAGAATATAGACTATAGACTAGACTATAGAATTCAATATAGACTATGCTATTACTAGACTACAGAATAGGCTATAGAATAGGCTATAAAATAGACTACAGAATAGACTATAGAATAGACTATAGAATAGACTATAGAATAGACTATAGACTAGACTATAGACTAGAATATAGACTAGACTATAGACTAGACTATAGACTAGAATATAGACTAGACTATAGACTAGACTATAGACTAGACTATAGACTAGACTATAGACTAGACTATAGACTAGACTATAGACTAGACTATAGACTAGACTATAGACTAGACTATAGACTAGACTATAGACTAGACTATAGACTAGACTATAGACTAGACTATAGACTAGACTATAGGATAATACACCTAAGAGTGATCACGTAACAGGGTCAGGTGTATGTCCCCAATACAGGAAAGCGATGCAACAGTTAAAAACACGATGATTAGATTACTACAATTAAATCTTAATCAGTGTGATGCAGCTCAGCAGCTATTAGGACAAAGTGTACGCGAGTTAAATGTAGATGTAGCCATTCTCAGTGAACCCTACAAAAGGAATGATGCACCAAACTGGGCATATGATGCCATTGGAACGTCTGCAATCTGGTCAGTGAACAGACAAATGTTACAAAACTCAATGACGAGAGAACGAGGTTTTGTCCGCGCTACGATTTTTGAGATAGTCATATATAGTTGCTATATACCCCCGAGATATGACATTCATGAATATAAAAGAATCATTGATACTCTAATAACTGACGCTACAGGGAAAAATCAGGTTATCATAGCAGGCGACTTTAATGCATGGGCCATAGAATGGGGTTGCCCAAGAACTAATGAAGGGGGCAGAATACTACTTGAAGCATTCGCTGCTCTTGATGTGGTGCTGATGAACTCTGGTAGTGAGCAGACATTTAACCGAAACGGTGGGGGCTCAGTAATTGATATCGCTTATGTTAGCGCAAGTATCATCAACCGAGCTAGTTGGCAAATTTCAGATTGTTACATACACAGCGATCATAGCGCTATAATTATGAATATCGGTAAATCTTTACCCAGAGCTAGAACGATACCCACTCAGAAGCTACTTGGTTGGAAAAGCAATACGTTTGATAAGAACATTTTTCGCCTGTGTATCGAAAGAGTGAAGATTATAGGATTTGCAGATGATATAGCGCTAACAATTGTGGGTAAAACTATTGATGAAGCAAGGACTGCTGCTGAGAGTAGTATCTCCCTGGTAAAATTATGGCTTAACTCGATGGGACTTCTACTAGCCGATCATAAAACAGAGGCCGTTTTGATAACAAGTTGCAGGGTTGTAGAATATACTAACCTCAAAGTTGGCAACTGTGAAATCAGAACAAAAGACTGTATTAAATATCTGGGAATCATTATTGACAACCGTCTATCGTTTAAATGTCATTTTGATTATATAAGAAATAAAACTAGCAATACATGTACATCACTACATCGCATAATGCCTAACACAAGGGGGCCTAAGTACCTAAGAAGGAAAGTACTCGCGGGAGTATTCAAAAGCACCATACTTTATGGTGCGCCGATATGGGCTGAATCGGCCAAGCTTAAAACTAATTGTAGAAAGATTAATTCCATATATAGACTTACAGCACTTCGGATATGCTGTGCATATAGGACAATATCTGATGAAGCGGCCTTTGTCATCGCGGCAATGATGCCAATTGATATACTGGCAATGGAGGAAAAATATGCGTATGATCTACGTGGTGTGCCGGATAACGAAAGTGCTATCAGGAATCTCCAAAGAGACAGCAATGCAGAATGGCAGCTTCGCTGGTCAACATCAACAAAAGGAAGATGGACTTAAAAACTGATCCCCAATGTTAACGTATGGTGTAATAGAAAGCACGGGTATATAAACTTCTACCTTACGCAATTTCTAAGTGGTCATGGTTGTTTTAGATCATATTTGTATAGATTTGCACTCGACACTTCACCACTTTGTCCTAGATGTGTCGAAATAGAGGAGAATGCAGAACATGTGTTCTTTCATTGCCCACGATTTAGCTCCGGAAGAGAAACACTTCAGCTATTATTGGGAAGTAGAGTGTACCCAGACAACATAGTCCAGCTTATGGTGGGAATAGTGTGTGAATTCACAAAGCAGGTTATCTTAGAATTATGCAGGGAAGAAAAGATACGAAGACTAGACTATAGACTAGACTATAGACTAGACTATAGACTGGACTATAGACTAGACTATAGACTAGACTATAGACTAGACTATAGACTAGACTATAGACTAGACTATAGACTAGACTATAGACTAGACTATAGACTAGACTATAGACTAGACTATAGACTAGACTATAGACTAGACTATAGACTAGACTATAGACTAGACTATAGACTAGACTATAGACTAGACTATAGACTAGACTATAGACTAGAATATAGACTAGACTATAGACTAGACTATAGACTAGACTATAGACTAGACTATAGACTAGACTATAGACTAGACTATAGACTAGACTATAGACTAGACTATAGACTAGACTATAGACTAGAATATAGATTAGACTATAGACTAGACTATAGACTAGACTATAGACTAGACTATAGACTAGACTATAGACTAGACTATAGACTAGACTATAGACTAGACTATAGACTATACTATAGACTAGACTATAGACTAGACTATAGACTAGACTATAGACTAGACTATAGACTAGACTATAGACTAGACTATAGACTAGACTATAGACTAGACTATAGACTAGACTATAGACTAGACTATAGACTAGACTATAGACTAAACTATAGACTAAACTATAGACTAGACTATAGAATAGACTATAGACTTGACTATAGACTAAACAATAGACTAGACTATAGACTAGACTATAGACTAGACTATAGACTAGACTATAGACTAGACTATAGACTAGACTATAGACTAGACTATAGACTAGACTATAGACTAGACTATAGACTAGACTATAGACTAGACTATAGACTAGACTATAGACTAGACTATAGACTAGACTATAGACTAGACTATAGACTAGACTATAGAATAGACTATAGACTAGACTATAGAATAGACTATAGACTAGACTATAGACTAGACTATAGACTAGACTATAGACTAGACTATAGACTAGACTATAGACTAGACTATAGACTAGACTATAGACTAGACTATAGACTAGACTATAGACTAGACTATAGACTAGACTATAGACTAGACTATAGACTAGACTATAGACTAGACTATAGACTAGACTATAGACTAGACTATAGACTAGACTATAGACTAGACTATAGACTAGACTATAGTAGACTAGACTATAGACTAGGCTATAGACTAGACTATAGACTAGACTATAGACTAGACTATAGACTAGAATATAGACTAGACTATAGACTAGACTATAGACTAGACTATAGACTAGACTATAGACTAGACTATAGACTAGACTATAGACTAGACTATAGACTAGACTATAGAATAGACTATAGAATAGACTATAGACTAGACTATAGAATAGACTATAGACTAGACTATAGAGACTATAGACTAGACTATAGACTAGACTATAGACTAGACTATAGACTAGACTATAGACTAGACTATAGACTAGACTATAGACTAGACTATAGACTAGACTATAGACTAGACTATAGACTAGACTATAGACTAGACTATAGACTAGACTATAGACTAGACTATAGACTAGACTATAGACTAGACTATAGACTAGACTATAGAATAGACTATAGACTAGACTATAGAATAGACTATAGACTAGACTATAGACTAGACTATAGACTAGACTATAGACTAGACTATAGACTAGACTATAGACTAGACTATAGACTAGACTATAGACTAGACTATAGACTAGACTATAGACTAGACTATAGACTAGACTATAGACTAGACTATAGACTAGACTATAGACTAGACTATAGACTAGACTATAGACTAGACTATAGACTAGACTATAGACTAGACTATAGACTAGACTATAGACTAGACTATAGACTAGACTATAGACTAGACTATAGACTAGACTATAGACTAGACTATAGAAACTATAGACTAAACTATAGACTAGACTATAGAATAGACTATAGATTTGACTATAGACTAGACTATAGACTAAACTATAGACTAGACTATAGACTAGACTATAGACTAGACTATAGACTAGACTATAGACTAGACTATAGACTAGACTATAGACTAGACTATAGACTAGACTATAGACTAGACTATAGACTAGACTATAGACTAGACTATAGACTAGACTATAGACTAGACTATAGACTAGACTATAGACTAGACTATAGACTAGACTATAGACTAGACTATAGACTAGACTATAGACTAGACTATAGACTAGACTATAGACTAGACTATAGAATAGACTATAGACTAGACTATAGAATAGACTATAGACTAGACTATAGACTAGACTATAGACTAGACTATTGACTAGACTATAGACTAGACTATAGACTAGACTATAGACTAGACTATAGACTAGACTATAGACTAGACTATGACTAGACTATAGACTAGACTATAGACTAGACTATAGACTAGACTATAGACTAGACTATAGACTAGACTATAGACTAGACTATAGACTAGACTATAGACTAGACTATAGACTAGACTATAGACTAGACTATAGACTAGACTATAGACTAGA